TAACAAAGGTTAATATGCAGAAAAAAATACAAGTAAAACATATCCAATAAAAATAAATCTATCAGCTTAATTATTTGAAAAACCTATAAGCATTAAGATTTATAATTACTTACCTCCTCTTCCAATCCAGAACCTTGCGTATTATTCTCCCTATCATTATGATCATCAACGTCATTGACACTAATATGTTGTAGGGTCATGTGCAGAGAAAGAGCCATATATGCATCAACCAACAATGAATCCATAAATTCACAACACATAGTGTGCCCAATGCTTATTTCTGATATGACCTTTAAGGAAACAGTCACCAATTTTAAGTGCTTGGATTTGAATATAGCTTTTCGGCTGATCTCTGAAGCTAAGAGATCTTTTATTTGCCATGCTATTCCTACTGAAATTTGGTAGCTGTTCTTGAATGCTAATGGTCCTTTTCCATTAGCACATTTCCCTTTTCCCGATTCTCTTGTGAGTCTGCTTTTCTTCCTCTTTGCAGATTGCGTTATCTCCCTGGGTACTTTTATACTGAAGTATTCATTACACTGGATAACAGTGTCTCGCAGGAGCATTGATAGAACCTCAAACATCTGGTCAAACCATTTGCAAGAAATAGCCAGTTTATGTGCAGAGCGTATTTCAGCTTGCTTTTCTTCATTCCCAGACAAACCACGACAGTTTGAGACAGAAGCTAAGCATTGTTCAAGTAGTCCATTTGCACCAATAGGAGAGACAACAGAAATGATATCAAAAAACGAGGATTGAGCATTCCCAAGCATTGCAGCAGCCAACAAACCCTCCAGTATTTCACCTGAAAATAGTTTCTTAAGAAGGTCTCTGTGAGATGAATCGTTTACCAGGTTTCTACAAAGGTGGCCTAAAGCAACAAATATCCCCTTAGTATGATCTTCATCAAGTTCATCAGAAGAAAGGACTAGATCAATGAGAAATCTGACTAGTTCTGTGAGAGACTTTGAAGATGCTCCTTCTGAAGCAAGAAACTCACAAAATCTTGCACCAGCCAAAGGAGACCTTTTAATTAGTGTGATTGTACGAGTGCATGCTTCTCCTACATTGAGCTTTGATGGAAAGTATGACGGTAAAAGCAACCGTACAATCCTTTGAGCAACTTGTGGTTGATCATTTGCAAGAGTAGTCAGTAAAACATCTAAATTGACCACCTAAAGATTAAAATACAACAGCATTAGTCAACCAGCACGGAGAAAAGTAGGTGGCAATAACAAAAAAAAAAAATACTGATGCTGTGTATAAGCCTATAAGGCACTTTTCTCTTACCTTATTAAACAAGAACCCTCGAACATCCATAATAAGTAGAAGGAGATCAGCCATAGCAATTCGAATTGACAAAACTGAATCCAAAATCAAACTATGCAATCTTGGCAAAAGTACTTTAAGGAGTTCATGAGCTTGAGCATTGCCCATCAAATAAATTATGCCATTCAATGAGGAGAGTCTAACCTCATTGGATATATCATGTGACATATCATCAAAAATGATGGTTAACATTTTTGTAATAGTGGAGGAAGGAATGATTTCCCAAAACAAACGTAGAATACGACAACAGCCTTCTACTGCAACTACCCTCACATCTGGACAATCATCTTTAAGTAATTTTTCCAACAAGAAAGATTGCTTTTCAAACAAAGTGTCCTTGGCCTCTTTTGTAGCATCTGGATTTTCAAGAGGAAACATGTCCAAGAGTAAATGAAGTGCATTCTGCCGAACATTTGAATTTGCAACCTGCAATGGTAGACATACATAATTCTTAATTGATTTGCAAAAGTTTTCAGTTACCAGTTCATACAGACAATAGCAATGCAGACATTCTTATGCCCTTGCACCACTATGCTTTAGCACACAATTGTTAAAAATAAATTTTACATGACATTGATGTTTTAAACCCTTTATTTGATGGTAATTTTAAATTTTGAATTTCACATGATTTAGCAAACCAGCACAATTTAGTTGAGTGTCAACCCCATGTGAATACTGAAATAAAGTTTTCTACAAGATGGGAAACTTCAGAAAAAGGGGCTATCACGTAGAATTTCTTACCCTTAAATTAGGCAAGATTGATCAAATGCTCAAACAACTTTTTACACGAATTCTCCAAATAATAAGCCTAATGTCTTCCAGAGAATAACAACTTAAATCCCAATTTATACCCTACCTATTGAAATAAAGAGGAGCCAATACCAATTGGAGTGTCCAATTCACAACCCTTTCCCTACATAGTATGAAAGATCATTACCAGTAACCTATACTACCAATACCATTTGGAATGTCCAAAAATTACAGAAATAAGCAGCATAGTACTGATGTTCAGACACCAAATGCATTAGTTATATAAAAGTATAACATATGTTAAATAGCAGTTAACTACATAAGCCTAATGATACGACTTATGTTGTTAACTGAAGGAAACCACAGAAGCAATATAGCAGTAAAACATCCAATTCATTGCAATTAGATGTCTAATCACAATATTATATCCCCTTAACATTCAAGGATATCACAATTGGGAATAACTAATCATAAATTATTTCTATTTCAGAATAAAGGAAAAATCTTAACGATCAACCATTACTAAATACTGGAATAGCATCCAAAATACCTGCAATGACCGAAAAATCACAGGCTCAGCGAGGCGAAAAAGGATCTTCTCTACCCCATCAGTAGTCCTCTGATTGATGAACTCTCCTAAAACCCTGCGAACAGAAGCTGCAAGTGAAGCAGAACTAGCAAATGTTGCACTTTCAATCAAACCCTGTAAAAACCCATCTTCAATTTCTGTCCTAAGATCACCTTCCAAACTCTTCCACCCTTTAAATAAAATCTCCCCATAAGCCTCCAACATTGACTTCCTTCCAAAAGGAATTTGGGATTTGATCATTGCCAGCACCTCCTTCAGAACCTGAAGACTTAAACCGAACAAAAAGGCGATAAACCGCCTTCCATCTTCGGTTTTTAAGTAGAGAGGACTAATCACACATCTAATTAGCAACAATTTCAAGTCCTCTATACTCACATCCTCAAAATCAAACAACAAAAAAGCTTCCCTCAATACATAGACCCTATGAATATCAACCTTTTTCCTTAAAGTTAACGACCTCGAAACAAGAAATGGGATGAATTGAGAGATTATCAATTCTCTCCCAACAAGCTCCTCCTTCCACCATAACTCACACAAGCTAGAAATGTCGGATAACAGGCCATTGTCGGACTCAAAAAGGATCAAATTATCGTGCAATTCTTGAACAGCCGGGAACAAATCATCGGCAGAGAAGGCATTTTGGGGATGTTTTGTACAAATTAGGGCAATGTAAGCGTAGATTTGAAGATTGTGAAGATGGGTTTTTTGTTGGGGAGGTTCTTCGACTTGGGTCGTTGAATTTCGAGAAGATCTTCGAGGTTTTTTCAATGGCGGAGAAGGCGGAGTTTTGGGGCAAGATGGGATTTTGAAGGAAGCAATTGAGTGAGAAATTGAGGAGTGGAGAGAAAGAGGGAGAGAAGTAGAGATGTCTGAAGAAGGTTTAACGGAGAAAATTAGGGTTTTGAGTGAAGGTCTAGCTGATTTTAGAGGGAATTTGATGGCTGATGCTAGAAATGAATCTGCAGAATTTTGCAGAGAAGAACGAAGCCGTTTCTCCATTTTTTTAGGAGAGAGGGGAAGAAGAAAGACGAACAAGAGTGCAAATTTGAATGGTTGAACGATGGCGCTCAACTCTAAGAGACTCAGACTCTATATTCTGGGGCATTTGGTAATCTTATTTCCTATAAAAACAAATTTTTAAAACAAAAACTACTGATCCAGGTCTAGGTTGGGAGTTAGACCTGGACCCAGATCCGTTTTTTTTCAGCAGGACTCGGATCCGTCAGGTCCAAGATTTGAGGACCCATATCTGTGAAGAACGGATCTGGATCCACGGATCCGGGTCGGGTCTAGATCTACTTCTATTTCAAGATGTTACTGTCAAGCTCGGTAAATACAAAAAAGACCATGCACTATATCTTTTCATGACAATTATACCCCCGTGAGAAACAATTTTTGTTGACAATTACAAAAAATTATGTGGAATACTATTGTTTGTGGTTGAATCCGTGAGCTTTATGTTGTAATTTGAGAGAATTGGGAGCACTTGATGTTTTCCGATCGTTGAATGATTAAGCAATGGTTTTATAGGCCGGAAAATCGTGACCAAAACGAACAAAAACAAAAAAGTAGTCATTGTAGTGGGACCCATTGCGTTTTTCAGTCACCGGAGTTGTAATTTGGTGGTAAAATAAAACTTTTAAAATAGTAGGTGGTAAAAAACAATTTGTCCAAATTTTTTTTAGTGATAAAAGTCAAATTTTTTTTTTTTTTTTTATTATATATATGTACAAAATATTTCAAGCATACCGATCCACCTGAACTCATTTAAAAAATATTACTGCAATTTGGTTACTCAAACCATTTAGAACCGATCCACCTCAGCTCATTGAAAAAATGTCGTTTGAGTAACCAAGTAACACAGTTTGGTTACTCAAACCTGGGCATTTCAAGAAAAAATACTCTATAAAAGAAGAAATTACAGTACGTATAAGGTGAAAAAAAAAAATGATCACACATCATGTACTTATTTATTTATTTTTTGGAGGCAAGAGTTTTCCCCACTTTGTCATCTGTAACATTTAACATGCCTTTCTATGTAACATATTACGGTCTTACGGATATGAACCTAGTGAATGAACTTGTCCCTTCACCATTCAGTAGTTTGGTTTATTACAAAGTGTCTCTTTAACATTCAGCAGTGACTTTTTATTTTTTTTAAGAACGCAGAGCACTCACTTTGATATGATGGCACTTCGAGAACTAGAAAGAACAGAGGTAGATATAAAACATCATTTTAGACATCACTTTGATATGTACTCCCTCTTACTACTATGAAAGTTTGTTACAGCAGTACGAAAAGAAAAGAGGAATAGGAGCAGGAGATAGTGTAGAAAATGAAACCGCAATGGCATGCGAAATCAAAAAGCATGCCAGACTTTATATATATGTTAATGATTATGTTTATGTTCCAGGCTAATTCTCATCACCTGCACAATATTCTCCAGGGCCGCAAACACAGAAATACAAAGAAAGAATAAGAGATTATTGCAAATAAAATGCGCTGCTTGCATTGCTGCTCTAGACCCATATATACAGATAAATTAGAAGTTAAAAAGCATCAATATAAAACCGGCCTCCTCAATTGTTTCTGAAAAGCCACCATCTTTTCTTCTTTTTCATCTCCCAGGGCGGCGGCAACTCTGCATAATGTATTCAACACCTTAATTAGCTACTTTCTCAATGTTATTAAAATCAGTTCATTTTCAAGCAAGCACTAGTATAAAGGAATAGAGCAGAACTGCAGACAATTTTATCATGCTCAACAATTAGCTCCCATAACAGATCCCAATCTTAGGCAATGAAGTTTTAACCCATGGGGTGTCACACGTAAAATGTGCCAACATATCACCATCCATTTTGGTAAAGGTGCTACACAACTGCTACTGGGATTCACCACAGCATTCAGGCTTAAAAAGCATATATCAAGATCTGTGGGGGATTACGAAAGGAATATTGGTTGTGACCCTATAAAAAGTAATGTCATTACAACTATAAGAACGTAGCTGCCTTGAAAACTCTCCTGCTTATCCTAATTTTGCACACTAATACAGCCATTAATCAGTCCCTAATAACCCAACACTCATAATGACAATTATGGACCTTCAACTTCACAATTGGAGGATATAAAACACAAAGGAATTTGTAGATGATTCTAAGAAAGAGAGTTCACCTTGATCTTTAGTATCATAAACAACCAAGAGATGTTGAATGGACACTCCAATTCATTGCATTTCCACGTCTACATAAAACAAATTACTGTAAAACAATGTGTTTCTTATCATCCAACACTCTTCCATTGAGAATTTGATGTCTTTCAAATTGCCTCCCATCCTCTCCACCCACCCCACTGCCATTCCCACCCCCCCCCCCCCCAAAACAACCAAACCAAAATATTTACGAATAACAATTTAAACAACTATAAATTTCGTAGAGAATAAAGTGCTTCACACCCACTTTTCTATAGTACACAGACGTCAGCGGGTAACTATGCAAGACCATGATGCAAACTAAACCAGACAGATTAGTAAAGGGTTATGAAGAACTGAATTTACCTCCTTGCGGATAGATTGAATTGTAGTGCACTTCTGCCCAGAAGCTAAGGAAGATGACTGCATTCCAAACGAAAAAACAAAACAGAACCCAGAAAAAAAAATAAACAAGATTGATTCTTCATGAGCAGAAACTTAACATTACAATAAAAATAAGGTTATAAACAATCTTTACTAATGATTCGATTAATTGCAACAGTTTTTACAGGTTTAAGGACAAAAACAGCACACTTAACAACATCAGAAAGCAGATGGACTTAATATTTTAATCTTTATTTAATTGGAATCCTTTCAGTTTGATATATTTGTTGAAAATTCTGTAGCATCAGTTTGTGGGGAAAAAAAATACCCATTGAGATATTCCATATTCAAAGACTTCAACAATCCAATAATACTAATTAGTAACTGAGCCACAATCAAACAGATTTGAAACCCAATTAAGATAATGTGAATTAAAAAGGTATGTACACAACAAGCACATAAAAGAGAACAAAAAAAGGTAAGTTAAATTATGCAGGGAATACTAAAATGCTGCCAGCATGTACTCAAAAGACACCCCCAACAACTCACCTCGCTTTGACTTCTGAACCTTCGGAATAATCTCCATATAACAGGTGTCCTTGAAAGAAGTTATGAGGAATATCTTAACACCATACTGCAAGAATAGGCTCCACTTATCAGTAAAGAAAAATATTTCAATAACACAAAAATGGGTCAAGTAGACAATTCAACAAAACATATGCAATGGTAAGGCATGATATAATTTTAGTGGATGTGAATATACAGGCCAATTGACATCAAGGGAAAAGTTCAAAAACAAGACTGACAAAAATCTCACCTGTAATCCATGATATAAGGATATAGTGAACTAAATTTCTCTGAAGTTGTGACGTGTCAGCAGCAAGGAGGTCTAATGGTGACAACAGACAATTTCTAAATTGGAACAGGCTTGCATGCACATGATTTTGAGTAAGGATTCAATTTTAACCATACTAAAAAATACAGCAATACTACTATGTTTATAAAAAGCATCATGATTCAACAACTTTGTACTCAATGAAACCAAGATTTTAAAAAATATGTCTCCAACTTCTTAAAAACAAGCACCGTGTTTCTTGTTTGAGAATCCAACATTTAAAATAAAAATGTAAAGAGCAGAGACATACCGAGTCAGCAGCTGCCTGCAAGGTGACATGATCTCCCCATTCACCACTCCTATTTTCATATACACACAACAAAATAAGTAAGGCAAATATAACATAAATGATTTCCCGATATAAGATATACAAACTACTCTCATACAATCATCTGTCGAACAAAATGAAAAAATAACAATTTAAAAAAAAAACATCCTTAAATAAGGAAAAATTCAAAGGGTATTCAAGACCCCAACACATAAGGGGAAAAAACCATTCAGCTTAAGAGAACCCAAAAACTAAGGAACCTGAATAAAGTGAAGCAAGTTTGTGAAAGAGTCAAAGAGATGATAATAAAAGCGTTTTTTAAAAATTAAGTATAGCACACTACAAATAGGACATTGTACATCTTGGTAGACCACCATACCCCAAAAGAGTGAACAAAACCCTATAAGCACATAACCAGGTGCCAATTCTTCTGACATTTACAAAAATCATAAAATGGTTCTTCAAATAGCTGAGGATTTAAAAAGGAAGTTAAGCAAACTGTACTTTGACATCTTGTTTAAATATTCACCATACTCCATGGGCACATATCCCTCGTAAACCTCTGAATCTGACTTGAGCTGAAATATCCAACAGTTGAGCAAATAAGAAATTACACTACCAAAGTACCAATGGAACGGTAACACCAGCCAGATAAGAAAGCTAAAGTAAAACAATTCATATTTTGTTTTCTCAGGAAACCCACCTGAGTGACAACCTGTTGCCTCACAAACTTGTGGTGTTCTGGGGTGCGATAGAATTGATCTGACAAAGCACGAAACTGAAAAAGTACATTAAAGGTTGAAATGATTATCAGTTGTTAGTGATGCAATGGTAACAAAATCAAAGTCTAGAGGGTATTGATGATTGATGAAACTTGCAAGCAGTAGTTTTTAAACTACCAATGTGAACATATGCAGTATTAAATTTTAGATTTTATTCTAAATATTAGCAGATTATGACCATACTGATTTTACGATATAAACATAAACATAATACAATTATGGAATCTAATAAGAACATTTGATGAGTAATAAAAAATTAAAATAAGCAGCAAAGTTATCAAAATTTTCAGCTGGTGCAGGAACTAACAAGAGCTGAATAAATATCAAGGCCAAACAACTGACCTGACAATTGCCATCCCCCTGGACCTTGCGCTCAACCAAATCATACAACTGCAATCTGATCAAAAGTGCCTCTGTTATCAAAGCCATAACAGTGACAATTGGATTGTAATTACTGACAAGAACCACCAATAACAGGCAACATAACTAATTAAATATCTCCAAAGTGGCACCTTGCCGCCACTGTAACAACAGTCCCAGCAGCCAGTACTACATGGTAACATAAAAATATCTACGTAAATTTAATCATGAAAAAGCTCTGAAGGCAACAAAAAAAAGGAAAACTGATAAATTGCAGTACACTTTGATAGCCCCCCCCCCCCCCCCCACCCCCCCAAAAAAAAAAAAAAAAAAAAAAAGAGACAAACTCTACAGATATGTCCATACCTATCTAGTAGTCTTTGATGATCTGAAGTTGCTTCATCCATTGAAGGTATTTCCCCATTAATTCGAGGGACATGCTGCATAGGCAAAAATATTCTTCAATTGAATGGTTATGGTTCCATTATATAGCTTGAACAAGGATACACAAGCGCATAAGAATACTTAATAATAACATCGACTTCCACTAACTAAATCATAGAGCAGAAGACCATGCAAAAACCATTGATTTAATAGAAAAGGCAAAAGTTGTCAACAATCACATTACTCCAATGCCGCCAAATGCTTTTAATACAGTAGGGGAGATCAGCAGTATGCAGCCTCACCCCCCTCCTACTACAACAAAAAAAATCTTAATAATTATAGGCTGCGGGTTATATTCACGTTGGGAAACAAAAAAAAAATCAATTTTCAAATAGCGACTAGATAAGCTTCAGGCCTCCAGCAGAAAACACAATTCTTCGTGGACTACAGTGATATCAATGAAAACATTATTCAAGTACATAAAGAAAAGAGTATGACTCACTCTACATCAACAACAGCTACAAGATTCAAGGCAGTGTCATTGTTGATTATAGGACAAAAACTCCATTAACTCCTATTCGCTACTCCAAGGAAGTATGTGGATGGAAAAATCACAAAAATATTTACACAGAAAATGCAAACCTCAGAACAAGAGAATCATCAACTATCGAAGACATGCACACAGATGAGCAAGAAATGTGTGAAAGAATTCTAGACCTAAGGATTACTTACTGGCACAGGGATCATTTGATTTAACCTCTTCCCCAGTTCTCCATCAAGTGCAGACTCGTCTGCAAATTCAAGAGAATACGAATAGTCTTCACCATCATTGGACCTTTCTCCTGGACTGGAACATGAGCTTGAGTGTCCTGTATCATCTGCCTCCTGGGAATTCTCAAGAGCTGCAATTTGATATTATCTTATATAAGCACACTATAAGAATATGCACGTGAATACGTGATAATGGAAGAATAATAAGGAGATGAGTCACCCTATAAGCAATTATTAATACCAGGACAGTAATTGGCAGAAGATGGTATAAGCCAATCTGATGAAACATTTGATGAATGAAACTGCTGTTGTTCTGCATGCGAAGATTGAGCTGCATTATCAACTTCTAATCGTGAGAATTCTTCTTGTAGACTATGTGCAAGTATTGCATCACTTTCTACATAGTTACAGTGGGAATTACACGCTGTATCATAATTGTACTCTCTCATATATTGTTGATGGTAACTGCTCCCATCTTCTGTATTATAATCCCCACCGTACGTACTATTGAACAAAGGTCCAAAATCAAGAAGATTCAAACCCCACCGGATGACATCTTGATCTTGCTCTTCAGTAGTCATCTTTGTACGTTAGATCAACAAAACCTGCATAAGTCGTCAATGATAGCAGAGGTCATATTCCAACAAACTGGCGCCCACACACATACTCTGAAATGCCTCAAAAATAGTGGGACAATCCCTGAATATCAGAAATTCCTAATTTAATGATTCCTTAAGCGACATATAACACAAACAAAACAAAGGCAAAAAGTTTCACAAAGTTTAATAATAGTAATTGCAAATAAGGGAGAACTTAACCATAACAAAAGCCATACATAGAGAGCATGCAAATAGGCAAAAGTCTATAATCTAGGAAAAGCACAACAAGTATGCGTTTATCATAAGAAGATTTAAAAAAAAAAAAGAAAAATCAACATTTTTGGCAAAGTAATTATGGAACCTATATACAAGAAAACAAAAGTCAATTGCCATTCTTCACAAATCAGTTGCTTATAGGAGTTATCTTCACATGTTCCAATTACTTTCCCGTTCTAACATGCAGCTACAGAACTTTTCAAATTTAGATGGCATATCAAATAATTACGAAGTATAATTTCTGAAAAAGAAATAGTCACTTTTGTTTTTTTGTTAAGTCAAATTGTCTCAATCCCAAACAGATTGAGATTCACCATAATTCAACCAAATTAGTTATGTCTTTTACTTAGGCCGAATACACAAAGCATGATGAGGAGCACCTAATTTTTTAGGAGAATATTTAAGCCACAAGCAAACCTATAATATCCATAATCTGAGACTCTGAAAATTAAGGAGAGCAATCGTAACTATAAAATATAGAGCGACATGAAGTTCATGAAGTAGCATCATTCATGTAATATGGCATATGCCCATACTGCACATGAAATTAAAATCAATGACTCTACAATGGCTTACTAATAAAGACCACCATTGTAATGATTAAATCTTGAACAATGATTTGAGTAATGTTTGCCATTAAATTTTTCCTCTTTGAGAAAAATAAGTAAACTCATTAAATTCATTTTAAATATAAATTTAAACTTTCATAAAATAGTCAAAGTGATCAAGTTTGGCATATTTTGGGTGAACGCTTAATTCCTACTTCTTGGCAATTACTAGTACTATTACTATTACTCAGCATAATATTTAGTAATGACCAAACACAGAACAAGTATAATTTGATGAATACACTTGTGTACTTGTATTTTTTTTTTTTTTTTTTTTTTTTGGTAATTGCCAAACATCATTCTTCCCAAAAAAGAAAAGCCCCTCCCTCATTCCTTTTTCTTTCTCTATATAGATCAAACACCAATGAAAACAACGATGGTGCATCAAATTGACACTCATATATTTCCACTCTCCATCCAAATGAACTATGCAAGAAATCATAACTATGCGAACGACTTTGATCAATTACAAGCTACCTCCCGCACCCTTTCTATACTCCCATGGAACACATTTTTATCATCTATTTTCCAACATGGTACAACTTAATGTTAAAATTAAATATAACTGATGTTTCAACAATGATAATAAGAAATTTGGTGATTAACATAATGATCACTTAAGACAGATCAGTGGCCAGAATAAGAAAAATAAAGAAAACCATCTTAGATTGAACTTCAACAAAAGAAGAACGACAATCTGACTAAAATATTAAGGGATAGAGGGAAGGAATGTAGGACTCTAGCAAACATACAGTATGTAGCATTTCAAGACAAAATCTTCCTTCAAGTCTGAAGTATCAAACCTTGACCAAAAACAAATCCTCAGCAAAATATACGGGAAGACTATTTTTTCCCAACAAACATAAAAACAGCGTCCTTATCACCTTCCTTCCCTATCTCAACAATTTAAATGTCCAGCAGCATTTTCTCATCCCATAGAAAACAAATATTCACCTTTTCCTTTGAAATGCCCTTTGAAGCAACTTGCCTTCAATCAAAGATAAGTATTTTATAGTTTACCAACCACAATCAAAGTGAAATCACACCTAACATTCTAATTCTCTTAGGAATAGAACACAGAAAGGAGTAACCAAAAATTTACTATCTGCCACAGTGATCATACATTAAATTTCTCCGTAAGCCTTACATATGAAATAATCCTCTGCCACAGTTATCAAACATTAAACTAGTACCGCAAGCCTTAAATATGTAATTATCATCTGCCACAGTGATCAAACATTAAACTAATCCGTAAACCTTACATATGTAGTTATCATCTGCCACAGTGATCAAACATTAAACAACTCCGTAAGCCTTACATATGTAACTATCATCTGCCACAGTGATCAAACATTAAACTACTCCGTAAGCCTTACATATGTAACATAAATGTTCACAAAAAAGGAATTAATTGAATACAAGCGATATGCTCCAAAATATAAAACTACACATTCAAATAATAATGATTACTAATTCAACTATTAGGTCCACAAGTATAATATAAATAAACTGTTTCTACTTTTAACTTTAATAACAACTAAAATAAAACAAAGATTACATTATGAATCAATTAAATTATGAAAGAATTACAAGTAGCGAGTAAATAACTATGTAAATTAAATTCCATGAGGCAGCAATCAAACAGCATCAAAAAATTAAAGTGCGGACGAAATTGATCAGAATTTAATCAAGCTGACATAAATCACTCAAAAAAATAATCAAAAACGATAAAAACAAATCAAAAAGAATAAATCATCAATCAAAAACCTAATTGAAAATCAATCACGTCGAATACAATAACTAACCTTCAATATTCAAAATCGATGATAAAATCAACAGAAAAAAGAAAATAAAATGGATTAAAAAAATCTAAAATAATGAACAGACATGAAAATCAAGAGATAAGAATGATTAATAAAATACCTAAAATCGGCGATCGGAGACGATAATCGGCGAACGAGATCTGGTAAATCGACGGCAGAAAAAGAGAGAGAAAGAGAGGAGAGAGAAAATGGGCTTGAATTGTGGGTTGAAAAGACGAACTTAGGATGAGAAATTTTATGGGCGGTGAATAAAATGAATGGTACTTTACGTAATGATGTGTGTTATGAAACTTGCGGAAGGTTTGGGCCTAAGGATTCGGATTTTCATGTGAAAAAGATGACTTTTTTTTTTGGGCTTTTATTTCGTATACGTATTATTGTACTCCTATTAATGTATTATTATTATTTCTTCTTGGTTAAGCTACAAAAAGGCAATTTTATTTTAACCTCTCCTAAATTCAATTTATTGGTACTACTTTTTGGTTTTTTTTGCTGATTAAGGTAGGTGATGTGTGCTTTCATTAAAAAGAATTTTCTTTTTGGGTTTTAGTGCATAACATCCAATTGGACAATTGAATTATTTGGTTTTCTATTTTTAAATTCTTGAATTCCAAATAATCACCTATAAACGTTATTGAATTGACAAACTATTGGATTTATAGGATAATGGATTTATCACCTTAAAGTGATCCCCGTGTAATTTTAGACTAGTTCTTTTGAGGTTCTGGGCAAGCAAAGTAGATTTCAGCAGAGTAGCGCTGATTAAGTTAGTAGACCAAGACTCAGTGGAGTAGAGTAGAAAAGGGTCTTATTAGATGAACTAATTAAGTGAAAACAAAACATTATATTCTATAGGAATAATTAAGGTAACACATAACGTTGTAACCATTCAAAATATTTTGAGTTGGCTAGTTATAAATCTGGTGTTGGTTCGCACGTGAAATTGTTAAGTTATGTTTTATAAAGAGATACTCCGTATAATTTTTATTGGCTCTGGAAAACTAGACGCTAGAAGAATCGATAGGAGTAGGTAAGTAGCACAAAATATATATATATATATATATATATATATATATATATATATATATATACACGACGCACATAAGTCCAGATAAGAAAATATTTAAGTGAGAAAATTGTTATCGTCCTTGAATCTTTATATCTGACCAAGTGTCATGGTGGAGTAACTGATGTAAGGAAAGAAAGAACAACAAAGCAAAGAACAAAAGATTCAATCATGATCAAGTGCATTCTCATATTTGTAATTTAGCACATGCATAAACTGATATACTCTGCAACTATGCAAGCTAAGGTCCATTGACTGGCACAGTGAAAAAATGGTGTGAAGTGGGATACATCACATATACAACCATTTCAGTGAAACATAAAAGCCCTTTTGATGGCATAAACAAGCACTCATCACTTCAATTCAATTCCAGTGGTATAGTATGGTATGGCCACTCTGTTATGGGCTAATGGAAAAAAATTATGTATATACTGCTTATTGCATGTATGTTGAGGCAGTGAAAATGACTTTGATTAAATTTTCATACCCTTTTTTTGGCTAAGTTATAAATGAGAAAATGGCTCCTTTTTCTGACTTGTATTCCCTATGAATTTCATTCATACCACTCTTTTTGTGCTTGATTAATAATGGCTTTAAATTTGGTCTATTTCTACCCACTACTATAACAGTATTACCTCATGTACTGTAGTCAATGTGATATTTACAAGATTCACACTCAATCATTTGATTCACATGCTTTCTTCATCAATTCTTTTACTACTATATGGAATAATGGATGGAATTAATGGATGTCTTTTAGTTCCATATTTCATCGAACTGTGAATTTCATGAGTATCATGAATATCACAAATGACTTCTAAACTCGCTTGTTATTCTAGCTTTAATTTAGTTTCAATTGTAATTACCTGCACCCAAAAAGTAACACAATCAACACTTATTTCTGTGTCGATATTAATTTTAAACATAGTCTCATATAAATGTTTTGATTGGATGCAAAATTTGCTATAGAATAATTTTCGTATATTTGTATTCTTAAATGTGATTCATCTCTTGAAAAGTGTTGGAAAAATTATTAAGCAATTTGTTATGTTAGAATTTGCAAGATGTTATCATTCTAGTATTTAAGACAAACAAGTAGACCTGGTTATTGGGCGGGTCGAGTCAGGGTCGATGCGGGTCGGTTGTGGGTCGGGTCAATGTGGGTCACATTTTATAGGGTTAATATTGGGTCGGGTCAATGTGGGTTGCGGGTCGATAATGGGCAGGCCCAAAAAATATCAATTAAAAAAAATATTAGACAAAGTCATTATTAAGTATATATGAATATAAATTTATCTATGTAATTATTTTTAAATTATCTATTTTCTTTATCAATTAAATTGGAAAAACATTTTGGCCCTATATTGACCCTGTCCATTAAAGGCCCTGTCCATTAAAAGCCCTTTAAGCTTGGCCCTAATTCTATTATCATTGGGCTACCCTACCCAATAACCACCTCTACAAACAAGTGACGTTCACATATGTGATAAACCTAGTTATCGATTTGATTTGTCTTTAATATATGTGATAAACCTAGTTATTGATTTGATTTGTCTTTAGTCACTAGCCTATAGTTTTTGACACCTTCACTAAGAAAAAAAAAATTTCTATTAATTTTGAGTTCTTAAGCACGCCAATTATCTAGCTAAAGAAGTTGGTATAACTAATTTCTTCCACGAGGAGCGAGTATTGAATATTTGAGTAGCGGCAGCAACCCCATTAGTCGTAAATCCAATTGTGATTAACAACTAATTGACATTAAATTACTACATAATTAATCTAATGTTCGAGCTCTCAGAATTGGTGGACAGGTGATAGTGGACTCTTCAATAATTTATAGCCGTAGTAATATCTTGAGCAATTTCCAAATCTTGTATTTATACTATAATTTAGTCGTTCTAACGGTATATATGCAATAATTTTTATCTGTACTATTTCTACCAATGTGTACATCATAATCAACCCTTGTTTGAGATTGATATAATACAAAATTATGTACACCTTTTTTCGTCAATTTACATTTTACATGCAGTTCATAAAGTTCTAATTAATTTTGAGAGACCGAGTCATTGAGACATTTGATGTTTTATACGTCGTATTAAGTTATTAATACTAAGTTTGATGATTTATTTTTTAGTTAAACCCTCCAAAGAAGGGAAACGGGATGTGCCTTTCTATATTTTGACAGATTAGTCGTTATCATATTGTCCAATAATCTCCGAAAATTGGATCAATATGTAGCACAAAAACGTCAAATCGAGCCAAAGCAAGAGCTTAGTAGTGTATATATTCTTCATAGCTCTCAATCTTTTCGAAAGGCACATGAAGTTACATATAATTAAGAAGCACGTCCAACCAAAAAAAAAGGGGTAGGGCAACACTACCAAATACCAGCTCATATTTACAATCTACCTTAACAGAAGTAAATGCCTTACATTCATCACTACTTTCATTGTTCAAGACCTAAAAACTTCACCATACTTTATTCCTTGGTCCCTTAATAATAGTGATTATATATAGTATTAAATTGAGTAGTGATTTTAATTGATTCTCCTCTATGTAAAGTTGTACATTTTCACTATATATGTTACTCCACAAGCTTATATTCTTTTCAATATTTCGAAAAAAAGGGTATTATGAGCAAGTCTAAAGTAAAAATTCCAAAATCAAAAAGTAGGCCTTAAATAGTAATACGTGATACTATCTACGTGCAAATAGAGTAATTTCATCTGAGCACCGATGATTTAGGGTTAGATCATTTTCAACTGATGAATCACTAGAGTCAAGGCTGAGGCCGCATAATCGAATCTAATTTTAGCAGTTAGCTTCTTTTAATATAGCAACCTATACATGTAACATTAGTTTTCAACTATAGTCAATTTCATTTCGAGTCAAAATCAAGCCAATATAATTCCATATACTTTCACATTAGGTAAAATGATTAGGTATGAGTCAACTTTATCAAGTTTACATGCACAAAAAAGACGTAAGGGAAAGGGACGGCTTTAATTTGTAGAAATCATACAGTAAGGAGAAGGGATTTTCATTGAAAAGTATTCCATACATATTGTAAAAAGAGTATGTATGCTTATATGAATGCTCAAACAAACAATACGAGCTAGAATACATTTTATATGATCAACAAAAGTCTGAGAAAGCAATATAAATATAAATATAAAATACTACTACTAGTTTACTACAACAAAATATGAAAAATGGTTAAAAGGCAGGCATAGAAATGAAACAGTATACTAAGAATGAACTAAAGAACAAATAATTGGCCCCCTATTTTTTCACTTCTGCTATTTCTTACTTGATGACTTTTGGCCTTTCAGTCAACCTCTTATACCTGGATGTTCTGAAAAATCATCTATTTCTCTCTTTCTCTCTCTCTTATTTATTTACTTCCATGTTTCTGGTCCAAATGCTAGGTTGTCCCTGCCAGACCCTTTTGTTGGGTATAGGAAATTTGTAACCCCACAATCAAAAAAACTTCCCTTCTTTTTTTCTGTTTATAAGAAGGAAAAACTAAAGCAAAAACAAAAACAAAAATAATGCAAGTACCATTTTATCAACTAAGATAAGAACCTTCCTTGCACTAATCCATCCCCATCCTAAAACAATGCTTAATCATTGATAAACTCGATTATTATCCCGGGATTGGTTATTGATCGATCGATTGAGCTTTGTCAGTCTGGCAGATCAGGATTTTGGTCACTGTCTCTGAATGTTAGCTTTCTCTTTGTGCCTGATGTACTTGGTTTATCAGTAGTAGTAGTTTGTTCAACTTCAGTTGTCAAGTTAGGAGTACTAGGAATTTCCCTAGAACACAATCTCTGCATCAAGCTATAACAGGAAACCAATTGCTTCTCCTGCTGCTGCTTCTGCTGCTGCAGCATTACAATCATGTAAACAGAATCAGATACAGTTGCTCCAATCTACTACATTTCACTCCAAACTCTTCATCTCAACTCACGTACTAGTGTAGTACCCATATCGGATC